TCTCTCTCTCTCTCTCTCTCTCTCTCTCCTTCCTAGGATCTTGTTCCGTGCATGGCTCTTCTCCATTTCTCATTGGACTCTTATTCTTCTCTTTAAAGACATTCTATCTGTCCAGATCCTATCCACATTGCTTTAAAGTACAGAGCAGGCGATGGCAGGTGATGGCATGGAACAGAGGAGACAAATCAGTCAGATGTTTAGGGTGGATTCTTGGTTTCTTTCATTCAAATAGGTCACAGACATTAATGAAGCACCTCTTAGGTACTTGATTTTTGCACCAGGCCCTGGAGATGACCAGTGAACAAGACACAGACACTGCCCTCTAGGACTTGGAGGCTCTTGGGGATAGAGGTGAAGGAAGAGCCAAGTGGGTGGTGGAAGTACAAGATTCCTGGGGACACAGGTGATGGGGAACTGACCTAGGTTGGGGGTCAGGGCAGACTTCTAAAGGAAGCAGTTCCCAGCTGAGCTGTGAGGAGTGAGGGATTCATCACAGGAGGGTTGAGAGCAAGAACATCCGTGACAGGAGACCCGAGGAGCACACATTGCAGGGTCACTTTAAGAGCTGTATGGTGGGTGGAGATGTAAGGACATGCTCAAACATCTTTCATGTTTTGTTAAATTTTTTCTTTCATTTTCTTTTGTTGTTGTTGTTGTTGTTGTGTGCTGTTACCCCAAACTGACCCATAGCTAACTCTCTGGTGGGTTTTCAGAGGCAGTAAATTGCATGAGCAGAGACTGCCCATCCTTCTCCTGTGGAGCAGCTGGTGGATTTGAACTGCATGCCAATTTGAACTGTTGTGCAGCTTCTTACCACCAGGCTGCAATAGCTCCCTCATTTTCTTAGAGTCTTTTAAATATTTTTACTATTGAACACTAAGAGGGTGTTTTTTTATTATTATTAATTTCTATGAACATTTACAGAGATTTTGGAATTCCATTCATTCATTGTTGCACAATTTCCTACCCACCCCAACCCTCCACCCCCCACCCCAAGTATACTCCACTCTGCAACCCTCATTCCGGACTCTTATGATAATCATAATGCCCTAAAATATATTACTTTTAAACTATTCTCTACCTCATCAGCTTCAATGCAGTAAACATAATTTATCCAGTTTTTCTTAGTCGTGCTAAGAATGTTTTAATAACATTTTGAGGACAAAGGAAGGCAAACTTCTCAGTTCTGTGTGACTGAGGCCATGTAACTTCTCTGAGCATCCATAAAAGGGAGTTGCTAATCCAACTTTGCCTTGGTGATTTGCTCCCTGGCAATTTTCAACAAAGACACAGGGAAGCGTAGGTCAGTGCTTCTGTTCGCTTCAGTTGTTGGAGAACTGTTCACCTCCTGCTTTACTTGGTTTTCCCCCCTAACTTATTGGTGTTCTGTCTTGTTATTAATACTTATTAATATACTTTACCCTTGGTCTGCAACACTGAGGAGGAAGAATGCAACAGCAGTAATGATCAAGGGTCCTAATGGGTAACAAGGATAGGTCAGTCACTCAGCATTCATTGGCTCTCTCAAGTCTCTAGGCTTCCCTGTGTCTTTGTTGAAAATTGCCAGGGAGCAAATCACCAAGAGAATTCAATGCAAATAAATCTAAGCTCTTTCTATTGGAAAACTTTGGCTTGATTCAGGAGGGAGGGGTTAGCAAATACAATTCAAGAATCTTGTAAATGCTTAAGGATTGCCTTAGTGTCTAACCCTGTAAACATTTAAGGATTGCCTTAGTGCTTCAGGGTGAATTCCAAGTTGTATCAGCCTCCCTCATAACCTGAAGTAGTATTTGGTTTATTACAAATATTGAGTATGAAATTTGGCTTTCCACATCTCAGAATATTTTCCTTGGCCTCCTATGAAAATGGTACCCCTCCTCCAGCCACCTGCATCCAGCACAAAGGCCTGTGATGTGCTTCTACAAAGACAACAGCCCACAAAGTGCCATGGAGCACTTCCACTCTGTAACACGCAGTGTCTTCATTTGCCAGTGCTGCTGTGACAGAGATGTTCACAAGTGCGTGACTTTAACAACTAGAAATGGATTGTCTGCCTGTTTAGGAGGCTGGAAGTCAGGGCTCAGGACACGAGCTCTAGAGGAAGTCTCTCTCTTTAACACTTGTCTCGGGCTCTGTCTCCTGGTGCTCACTGGTTCCTTGCCAGGACTCATATGGCACCTCCTTTCCACCTATTCTCGTTAATCTCTATATCCAGTCTGCATTTTTGATGTCTCAAAATTCATTAGGTTTATTATTGTAAAAACAGAAGGATAACTAGTAAGATGAGTAGGGATGTCCAAAGAGGTATGGATGTCAGCAGAGAGGCTGATGGTGGGCAAGGGGTTAAATCATGGGGTCACAGAATTTGGTGAGTGGAGGGAGAGAGTGGAGGAATTAGGAAAGATCCAGTG